AGATTTTAAGCATTGGAGGTTGTTAAAATGCTAGCACCATCAGGCCTGGCTCTGTGATCTACACTGCTCACCTAAAATTGGATTTCTCAGCTTGTTAATGAGGAAAGCCTGGCTATGAGCGTTTGAGGCTCAGAATAGGTAGAGTGTGAATGAGCGCAAAGGGAAAAAGGGGTCAAGCGTAGGTTACTGCCAGGTTAGGGGAACACACTGTATCATGAGTCCATACTGATAACGGAAAAGGAGACAGGCCCCAGAAATACCAAAGGTCAGCTTTCTCTCGGCCACAACTTGGGGAATCACCAGCTACCGGTATCCTTGGGTGCTCACTGCTGGTCTGGAGAAGAATCTCATCAGATGCTTAACAAGACTAGAATGAGTAATTTCCTTTTAATCTAAGTCCATTTTACTCTCAACTCCTACTTGACCAAACTTCTCATCCCCAGTCACAAAGCTCAGTAGTTGGAAGAGATGTCACGAGGCCTAGATCATATCATTGCAACACGCAGAGCCCGGCCCACAGAAGCATGGTGATTATTAAATCGTGTTCTTCCAAATGCCAGAAGCCATGTTTGGGTAGTAGTTGAATCCTCACTGGACTCCTGTAATTGCTTGAGGCCAAGAGTTACCCAAACTTGAGTCATTCAACTTCCAGTACTACAGTTTTAGTGATACCAGTGAGTCTTACCTACCATATTACATAGTAATTTTATCCCCCTGTACTCCCAGCGTTTGCATTTACTTAGTATTTTATTTAAATTACCTTTAAAATGTATTTCCAGTAGAAACTTTGTCATCATAAATGGCGGGGGGGGGGGAAGTGTCACTATTTTTAGATAGAAGGTAACCATAAAAAAGTAATTGAAAGCAAAACCGCTTTAAGTTCCAGCTAGCTCCAGCTGCAAGGCAAAGCCCCCAGTCTAAAGCCTGTTTGTTCTTGTCAGAGTGGGATAGTAGCAAGTTAGGGGAGTTGTTGACGATAAAGCACCAAACTGAGACTTTTCCCTTGACATAACCAAGAAGACTGAAAGAGAAATGAAAAGGACATGACCTTCCAGCACAGGATTCAGTATTCTTGAAGGCCGTGATGTCTGGAACCACCTAAATCCCGTCCTGTAAGGAGCGGCCTGTCCTACTGGGAGGCCCTACTGCTGCAGGCTACACTGCATTGGAGGAATCGTTGATACACTCTGTGCTCTAGAAAATTCTGTTCGGGATTGTTTATGAAGTATGGACAACATACTCATCACCATACTTGACAGACCTTATGAATCTTACTGCAATATTATTTCCCAAAGTAAAAAGTGCTTACACAAATAGCTCGTACATTGATAAACATATATTCAACATTTACTGTATGTTTTAAATTATTCATTTGATATCTAATTTAAATTCTGTTTCTGTATCTTTTTCTTGTCTGCAATGAGTATATATCCTCTTGACTAAATATAATTGATAGTATCTCACTTTAAAAGATTGCCCAAAATATATAAGCATACTACAGTGCTGGCATTTCCAATCAAATGGGAACATCTTTGTATATATTGACCATTTTATCTGTTTTCTGACAGCTCACAAGAACTCTATAAAGTCCGAAGTAGGGGATTTTCTTCTGTTCTGATTTATTGTGCCCTAACAGCAGTGGTCAGCATCTACATTTTATACTCATGCTGCATAGCTCTCTTGGCAGATCAGTACATGGCCGATTTCCTCACGTATCTTGCAGTCTTCTTGGAAATCAGGATTTATGGTATTATTACTTTTGGTCAGAAACAAGAGGCACAAGAGTGGCTATTAATTTTCAGTATTGCTTAACCTAAAAAAGAAAGCTCTTATTTCTTTTGCTGTGGGAAGGGAGGTGGGGGGAGACAAGCCAGATCTAAAAATAAAGTGGATTTTCTTTCTTATTCATATGTAATTAGAGCCCCTTTGTAACTACTCATTACCACCTCAATAGTTATAGGATGAATAAATAATATATATTTTTAAATGTGGCAAAACCAAGAAAGAAGTAGCCAGGGCTGCATCCAATTTATCAACTTGGTGATTAAAGGGCCGGCTCTAGAGGCTCCAGACATCTAGGGACCCAGAGATAAAACAGAGCAGTTGGCTGTGTTTTTACTAATGAATCTAGGGCTTGAAAGATATCAGGCAATTTTAAAGAAAAGCAGCAAGGACAAGAGACATTAGACAAGGCCAGTAGGGTAATGAAGGGCAAGGCCAGTTACTGAGAGAGAAAATGACTTCATTCTCAGTGATAATGCTTCTGTGAGCCTTACAGGCCTCTTCTCCCACTTTGTTAGTATGACTGTCTGTGTCCATACAGCCTCAGAATGCTCCTCACGGTGGAGAAGGAAAGAGCCTTGGAACATTGCACAGAAGGGCAGAGGGCTTGGGTCTATTATTTGCAAAGGGGGAGGCTGAGAACAATGGTAGCAGAAGGGGGTTAGATTGCAAGGTGAGGATTGGTGCTTTGACAGAATGTGAAGAACATACGGGATTAAATCGAGACGAAAGACAACAGCAAAGGAAAAGAAAGGAAAAGGCAAGCAAACATACTCTGGAAATGCAGGGGTGTTTGGGGGTGGCGTGGGGCCGGGAGTGGGGCCGGCCGGTGGTGGTCCGCAGATCTGCAGGGCGGAGCCTCTTACTCAGCAGCCAAATTAAAAAAAAAAAAAAAAGGCATGGGGCACTTGACTCCTCAGCAAGCTGGTGAGCGGGACACATTTTCTGCTTAGTGGGGAAATGTGTGGTATTTTAGGAACAATTCCAGAGTATATTTAGCTCCTAAAGCTGGGGCACACAAATGTCACATTCCCATGAGACAATCGACCCAGTGAAAAGAGCACCCGCCAGAGGCCCTCGCAAAACCCATGAAACTCTCGCATCCTGGGAGATGCTGTGCACACGGATGTGACATCATTAAGGCACCCACATCAGGAAATGAAAAGAAGCGAGGAGATCACAGATTGGGCTGAGTTAAGGGACGTCATCATGAGTCAGAAAAGAAACAAGACTTTTCCAACGGAATCACGCCATCACCAAGTCATACCACACAGTGCTTAGCAAAACAGAACAGAAGTTGAAAATAAATCATGAACATTAAACAAAAACCATTCAGAGCAAAATGGAAATTAAAATCATAAATATCATGGCAAAAGGAACATTAAGCTACATTTTGTTTTTGAAAAATTTTTCTGCATAACAACCCATTGTCATTGCCCCATCAAATACGTACTCAGTTGTCAAAAACCCGACTCGAATTGACGGGGCAAGGCAAGGAGTTAAAGGCACAGGAACAGTGATCGTGTGAAACGCCCATGCAATCACCTCTGCCACCATTGTTTGACAACTGTAGACTGCTTCCAGCTTTGTCAATATTCATAATAAGACCCAAGAGAACGAACAGTGCCGAATTTTAAAATGATCTGTCACAGTGTTAATTGGACTCTTTGATAACCTCCATCCCTTGGGGGAGTTAACAACTGGAGGAGTCATGCCACCCGTCGCAGTGAAGTGAAGAGAAAATGACTGTAACCAACAGCTAGCGATCTGGTTGACATACTTAATGCTCCACTAGAATGGCTGTTTGGTTTTTCAGAAAGTCACAGTGGCCAAACACCAAGTGATTTCACGGAGCTATCTCTTCTGGAGAACTCGGCCAAGACCAACACATCTGTGGTCTGGAGCCACACATAACAAATAATGGCACATGGTAGGGCTTGTGGCCCACCGTGATAGCTCTGTCCCGTCACCCAAGAGCCTCGCGCGCTCGCGGAATGCTAAGAGCAGGGATGCCGCTGGTTTCAGGCAGCTGCCGAGGCAGAAGCCACTCTTTTTAAGATCTGGGACAGGGAATATGAATCAGAAGTTCTAGAGGAAAAAGAAAATTGATTTTTGAGGGGACATGCTCTGGAATAAGTTACAAGGGCTACACCTTCGCGTTGCGGCTTGGCCCCACACAGCAGTGGAGGTGAGTCGCAGAAAAGAGGGTGAGGGTCTAGCGCGTGGGGGGCTCCCTGGCCAACAGTCTCTCAAAGTAAAGATGGAAATACGTACATAGAAAACCCCAAGGGAGGGACACGACAGAGACTGGCCTCCAAGGGTCACAGTGGCTGGTCTGCCCTCGAGACTCCAACCCCTGCTTGGATGAAACCCTTGAGAACATATAGAAGTGAACAATTCTGAATGAGGGGAAACAGCTCTCAACATAACTGGGCTTTTCAGTCTCTGATTACAAGACTGTTTTTTGGACAAGTAAAGGCCTCTTTGGTTGCAGCTGCAACTAAAGTAGGATGTGTTACCAGAAGCAGCCACTGGTGAGAAAAGAGAGGACATTTCCTGTCTCTAGTTGAGCAAAGAAAGCAGGGGAGAATTTAGGACAGTTCACAGTAGAGTCCCTTTCAGCTTTCAGAAAGGAGCGCAGCTTCCTTTCTGTTTTAAATGCGTAGCAATTCTGCTTGATTAAATAACATTTTTTTGTCTTAGCTGTTGTCCTCAAAGGGCAGTTACAGTACATCGCAGGATGACAGCTCTATTCACACTCAGCACCATGCGTGAGGGAGGGATGTGCTACGGGCCAGTAAAGACTCTGCCCTGCTCTCTCTCCATTCACACATTAAACGGGCCTTTGCTTGGATTACGTGCACGTGCCAACGGCCCTGCATTCCATCCCGTTGTGGAATGGGAAAGGAGGACCCAGAATCACAGAATGAGCTCAGAGGAGTGGAGAGAGATCTGCTTTGGGCCAAGCCGCACCTCTTTTGGATGGAGGGAGCTTAGAGGATGTGTTATTTGTTTTGTGTGGTTTCTCCTTGATCGGGGAATAATTGAGGATCAAGCCGAGCACAGAGGATTGGATTGTAGTCTTTTTTGAGATGCTTTCAATCACTGTGTTGGAGGTTCCTTGAACACTGCTACGATGCAGCTGGAAGCAGTTACACAGTCCTCCTCACTTTTCCCTCCCTCTCCCCCCAGAGGAAGAGGCATTTCCAAGGCCTTACCCTTCTTGTCTTGGTGATTACGGGAAGACACCGCCCCCAAAGAGTCTGTCCTGTCAGGTGAATCGAGCAGATCCTTCCAGTCCAGCATTCCTGCCCTAGACTCATACCCCTCTTGAGCCGCCGCATCTGACGTGGTGGTGCTGGGCAAGAGGGAACTGGAGTGCCCTGTTTGCATCACAAATACAGTTAGGCAACACATCGCCAGAGACCCCCACATTCCCTTTGCTCAGAGGCCAGGAGGGGGACCCCCAAGCTGGCTGTAGGACTGAAAGGAGATTGCCCTAGAAATAACAGGCTTGAGGGCTGGGGTTCCGCAGAAGACTCCCTGCCCTTGCAGTTAGAGGATGAAGGGCCAGATCCTATCTCTGCTGCTTGCTGGGTGAGCCTGGGAGATTCACTTATATTTCTCTGGGCCTTGATTTTTCTTGTGCACAAGATGGGGATGATGTCACTTACCTCCCTGTGTGGGGAGGATAATGGCAAAAGTACCCAGCAGTGTCTGACACACAGCACGTGCTCGAGAAATACCAGGGTACTCCTCTGGTATTCCCATAGCACCACTAAAGGCAGGATGTGTCCACTCTGGGGGACACCATTTGTGACTGATGGGGCAGGTGGATGGTAGTGGATGAGCCTCTTGCCTCTCGCCTCTCAGAAACAACTCAGCGGTCCCGAGCCCTTCCCACCGAGCCTTTCTCACGGAGGGTGTGTCTAGTTTTCAGCTTCAGCTCAACTTCGCAGGTTCCCCATTTCTAAGAGAAGTGATGGCTTTCTCAAGGGAGCTGCTCCCACCACCGCTTCCCTGGAATGGCAGCCTCAACTGCCCCACGTTGCCATGACCATGCCTTCCGAGGCTTGTTCTGGCAAAGTCAGTCCCATGGCTTATGACTCATACTTGGGAGAGGTTGTTCTTGAGGCCATGATTCAGATTAGAAAGGGATAGCTTTTTGAGATCCAGAGGAGCCTACCAGAGGATGACATCGGGAAAAGAATGGCCAGGTTGGGAGTTAGGGCAGAAACTCTGGATTCTTCCTATGAACACATTCCTAAGCTTTCCTGCCAGCATCCCGCAAGGTTAAATACAGGTTGCACCAGGTGCTTTGATGTCAACCGTCACAGTGGTTTAAAGGAAGCCGCACTACCTCTTCTCTCCGGGAGAAATAAAATTTAACCTGTGATTTTCCATTAGAGTCTTTGGCTCATTAAACCACCTTAGCTGTAGCAACCTCTTGAACAATGTTTGAAAAGACATCAAGGCAACTTCTGTGAATGTGGAAACAGTACCTCTGGTAGAAAGGAGGACAGATTCCCAAGTGGCTCCAGCCTTGGGCTGTGATCACCATGTATGTGATAAATAAAATATTGGTGACCAGAAAGAAAGATCACAATGATCAATGAATTGTGTTCTTCTTTATTAGTTATTATAATAAGTTGGGTTCCCAGGAGACTCCAGTGCTACACATAACAGACAACCTATGTGAAGACGACCTCAGGAAAAAGCAGAGAAGCCAAGTGGGTCACCTACATTCTAATGATTTCTGTAGAAGCACCACTCTTAAATGCCCCCACAGCACTTGGGTGACATTTAAGAAACCTCCTTCTGTGCAGAGTTTGTTCTTCTCCACGCAGCTTCAAATATTGGCTTTGGTGCACATAGTCCGGTTTCTATCCAGCTGTTAGGAACATGTTCATTTACAACTCAAGAATGCTTGCATCTAGACTGTCTTTTTTTGACATTCCTGGGTTTCATAGCTCATCTCTTAATACTGATAAGAGAACAGGAGTAGTGAAATTAAGCCGGACTTGGAAATGCAGAATTTCTCTTACTTCTTTTTTGCTTATATCGTGGTCTGAAAGAGAGCCTCTGTTTCCTACTCCTGAATTCTGCACCGCTCTTACGCGATATGTGGTCAGCCTAAGAGAGAATTCGGCACCCAGCCTAGGCAAACCATTAGAAATCGCTTCGTAGGGAGTTAGAAAGGGCGGGGCGGGGGGGCAAGAATTTTTTACCTGAATTGATATGCATTTTGAGTACTTTCAATTTAACTTTGTTCAAGGGGCAGTTTTATGGTAATGCTGTAAGTATGGTTTAGGGAGAACATTTCTTAATACGGTAATCTAGGGGAAATATATGCCTAAGGGACACATTCTCCGTCGAAAGATTTCCTGGACCATATGCTGCAAATACATGGAAAACTCATTGGTAATGGAAAGCTATGGCTATGAGAGGAAATTAATGTGGACCAGATGGTAGTTAGGTAGGAAAATGCTTTACACAAATGTGAGAAATCAGCTCCTTCCTATTGCTGAAGTGTTAGTCTAATACCCACCACATCCCCATTTTCTATATGTAAATCTAGAGAAACCATGCATCTGATGTACTCAGAATTAAAGAAAAAAACTGAGCAGCCTGAGGTTTGTATTCTTTTAAACTTAGGCTTTAGGATAGGCAACATGTGTCACTGGTGAAATCAGACAATCGGAGAAAGCAATACCTGATTCTCAAAAATTTTAGAACCGCCTCGTAAGAGCACGATTAACCAGCAGTCCTTAGTTTGAAATCAAAGAGGCATATTATTATTACTACTTCTCCAAGCTTAAAATGTTAAAAGGGAGTCACTTATATTCTTTCTTAAAATCTGATTCTACAGGCTATATCATTTGTGCATTCCCTAGGAGACTCTGTGACCAAAATAATGCTACACAAATAGGCATTTATTTGTAGATACGGTATTACAGGTCAGTAGATTTGGAGCCTATGATTTTGTCTTGTTAATCCATGATGAAAGGTCATAACTTAATCAGTGGAGCTTATGATGTATTCTTTTTTTTTTTTTTAAGTAATCAATCTCTCCATCTAATGTGGGCCTCGAACTCAGGACCCTGAGATCAAGATTCGCACACACTGCTGACTGAGCCAGCCAGGCGCCCCTGATGTATTATTCTTATGCAAAGAAATAGATTTTAGAAGTTAAATTTAATATGCATCATATTGTTTCTCTATATCTACAAGTCTTTGTGATTCCAGAGATTAGAGATGCTTCAAACCACTCTTACCTATTAGCAATGGTTGTAGCCAATTAGACACAAAACAAGAGACACTAAATCAGTACAAGAGAGGGAGAGAGAAGGAAAACAGGGTCCAATTCACTAAAAGGGGTTCTTGCGTATGTGAACTGCTGTTGCACAGAACTTTTGCCAAGCAGAGAGATTGCATGATTTATCGTAGAGATTCCTTTTTCTGAGTTAGGCAGCTCGAGTCTCATGGCTCTCTCTCTGCACTCAGCCACTGAACATTTTAGGGGGACGTGCAAAAGGCACAGCTGGGGACAGTGGGTGCATTTTGGATTTTGCCGTCGGCTTCCTAGTCTATACCCATGCTCAGTACAAACAGCAATCTGGTCTTCCCTTTGACGGTAGAAATTCGACACTGTAGTAGGCACTCAACACATATTTGCTGAGTGAATTAATGAAATCTATTCTAGGTTTTTTAACTCCAAAATAAGCATCTCTTGGAATAGTTTGTGAAAAGAAAGTCTCCCGTGTTTTCATAAGTACTGTCTGGACCAGTTCTTATTTTGGTGGTCAGTCAATCATCTAACAACTTGACGCTGGACAGATTTAGCCTAAAATGGATAGGATCATTAGGTGAAAGGAAAATTCTACCTCTTCTTTAGTTTCATCACAGAAGCCACTGATCAAGAGCTGAGGGTGAACAGGCATCATCCCTTAAAATGTTAACATGGAGGAATTAATAAGTTCCTTTCCCTTTGTAAAGGAAATAGGAGAGATCCATAGATCGGAGGGTGACTTTTTCTTCCTAAAAAGCATCCCATCGTTTAACTCTTCTTTCTATATGAGAAATTACCTGGGAGTTAAAATTGGTCTTCGTCCAATTGATGAATGCTGGGGAGGTAGCCGGTTCAATTAGATTTAAGACCTGAATTCCTCAGCATCTGATAAAGATTATTCAATTATAGGAAATGATTGCAAAGTGTGATATGGGAGGAGAGCAGATGCTAAGTAGGTTCTCTTTCTGAAGGGTGAGCTAAGCTAGATGACATCTGCCTCCTGAGAAATTTTTCTTATTGTTGGTGTTCAGTATTCTGGCTTGAGTAACAGATGAGACTAAAGGTGGATGAATTCTGTGGGCTCATCTGCTTTACGTGGCCTCCCTTCACAAGGAAAACAGAAATCAAGCATTGTTTCCCATATCTGCACAGCTCACTTAGGACTGCACAACCTTTAGGACTTCCAAAGAGGCTAATTTTTATTTATGCTAATTAGACACAGGGAGTAAGAGTTTATTACATAGAGCTGTAAAACACATTTGTAGCCATCTTGAACTATTTCTTCAGTCCTAAACCTGCCTTGCTTTCTTTTCTTTCCTTTTTTTCCCTTCCTTTATCCCCTGCCTCTACATTTAAAGACTGTCCTGGAATTGTTACTGTTAACAAACGTATTTTTAACACAAAAGCTATAAAATGCGCATCAGTGAAACTCTTAGTCCCCATTCTAATGCAAAGCTTAAATCTTCATCACACATGTTTTTCATATTTAAAAAACACTTGAATAGTTTGCCCTATAAACATTTGGGGGAACTCTGAGAAATAGCAATGGAACACTTCAATTGCATTTCAATTTTTCTTATAAAGGACTCAGAATATTCTGTTTATGGACTTCATAGCTTTGTTTAATGTATTGTCTGTGTATTTCAGAGCAGGAACAATGGGATAGATCCTGTTTGCACATCATTTCCACTGCGTCACTCTTCCTTGTATACATTCTGAAGAACTCTCCCTGAAAATATGTCTAAATATTCATACTCTTTGTGAACTTAAGTTTCAAATGGCTAATTTTCATGTGATGTCGGAAAGGTTTGCCTCGTAAGAACTGGTCTCTGCATGCTTTGTAGATTTTTTTCCCCCTGCAGAGGGTCCTGCCCTGAAAGTCAGCATTTTGGGGAGTGGTACTCTCTAACAGTTAAGAGCTATGGCCTATTACTTATAAGCACTGTTGTTTTATCTTAGATACACTCATAGTCCAAAAGCAATTTCTTCTACCTCAAGAACTCATTAAATGTATTCACCAAATTCCCTAAGGTTGGCAAATTTCATGTTTTGTGGATTAAAAATGTAGGAACCAGTCTCCTATGTCAATTGTCTCTCATAGGCAGTGAGTTTTGAAGCATTGTGAAATTGATAAATAATTTTAGTGAATTGGGGCCCTGAAGTAACAAAGAATCTGGTCCATGATGTTTAGGGATGAAAACTATAAACTACCACAGGATGAGTGGCTTAGAATTAAAAAAAAAAAAAAGTCCATAAACTGACCATATACTGTGTTGTAAGACATTTCATAATCTGGAAGAGGAGTTGAAATGTCTATAAAAAAATAATGAGGATAAAAAATTAATTAAAAAAGAAACTTAAGGTTTGAAAATACTCAAGAGGATTAGTGAAACAGGATTTCCCACATAGATTTCCATCGATACTAAGTTATGAGTAATATCTTCCTTACCATTCAGGGCCACAAAGGAATCTGGAAGACAAAAGGGAGGAGAAGGTTACTTAATGTTTTAACACTCTGCTTAGTGTGACTTACATCATAAGTAGGAATGAGCTAACGCAGAATTGTGCTAACATGTGATCCCCAGTACTGAGAAAGTGCTTTTTAATTTCTGCGTGTAATACAAGACACTTTATATCGGGTCCGATTTCACACTCCTCTATCTCTTCCCCGAGTGAGTTTCCTCAAAGTCACTGCCCTTTGTTGCCAAGGCTCAAAGAAATAGCAAGAGTTAGTAGAAGGAAGGGAACTGTGGTTATACGTGATTCTGGGACTTGAGGCCTTACTCTATACAGACGGACGTATATGCAGGTAAAAGAAGTGACACCTGGACCACACTTACAAAACACTTGTCTTTACGCTCTCTCTCGTGTCATCCTCTCAATCACACACATAGGTAGGTGTGTGTGTGTGTGTGTGTGTGTGTGTGTGTGTGTGTGGTGTGTCTAGGTCACATCACTGGTTCATTCAGCTTGCTCCTCAGCCTCTGACACTGACTCTTCAGGATTTCCTCATTTCCCCTAAAAATCCTGTTCAGGAGTCACTGTGCACCAGTTATCTAAATCCTCTGAATGCCTTTATGTGAACAGGTATGGCTAGCAGAAGTAGGTCATGCTGCAGCAGGAGCAGAGAGAGCCGAGAAGCCGCTAAGAAAGGCAGCGAGGGGCAGTTGTTCCTCCTGCCCTGAGCTGTGTACCCTGAGTGCCTCACCAGGACGAGTTCAAGATTAGGTAGCCCACGAAAACACAGAGGCTTGCCCCCTGAGATTGAAGAGTAGATCACGGGTTGGGGACCTGAGGGTCTCCCCTGTGTTAGATACAGAGGCTTCCTTCGGTTCCTTTGTCCAAAAACACACAGGTGGCGTGGGCCTGCTGGTGTCGTGGACACGTGATAGAGACAGTAACAACCATTTCACAGCTTTCATCCGTTCAGTTATCCAGTCCCAGTTGACACCCCTATTTTCTACAGATGCCCATACCACCAGATCATAAAAATAGGAAGAAAATTATTCACTGAAGTCAGCTCATTAAGTTTGCTCACACAGACGCACACACAAACCAGAACTTGTTTCCCTGAAAACGGAGCCATAAGGCACCAACATGATTAACATGATTTAAGATCCACTGATCAAACATCAAACTGTTTGACGGCACACAAGTAACGCGGGCCTTTTGGTGGTAACAGTCTCCTGTGTGGATTTCTTCACGCATAAATTTTGTGTTTCAAGACCCAATAAGAAGCTTTTGCCAATATGTAATATTTGCAAACAAAAAAATACAGTAAAGAATTCGGAGATGAGGCTGCCCGTAGTCCTCTTTATTGGATAATATTTGATCTCCAAAAAAAGGTAAGGTAGAAATTTGGAACCTTAGAGTCTGAGATTTCAGTACTCATGGCCCAAAGATTGAGAGTTTGACCCATGATTTCCATTATAGAACCAGGTATCAGAGTAATACAGTTTCATTCCCCTAGGAGCTGTTTTTGGGGTGCCACTTTGAACGAATGTAAGCTTCCTAAAATCATCATATGTAACCTTTGAAACACTGCGAACTATTTTCCAAGAGAGTGGCATTATTCTCTAACTTAGCATTAGTAAACATTTTCAGGAGAATACCCATGTTAATCAGATCAGAGGACAACTGGGCAGATGTTTGACCAGCATCTTTTATATGAAGTTCCAACTGAAATGTTACCATTTAATAACTTTTGAAATGAACTCCAAGGTAAGCATAGTAGGCTAGTTCCTATAAAAAAGGTTATTTTGAGTCATCTTGTACTTTGTGGGTTCTTTCTGAAGTTTTTTCCTAAGGCGAATGGTAACAGACATAAATCTAATTAAAAAAAATAATTACTTTTATTAGGCAATATGTTTGAGATGAACAAAACCCTCCCATTCAATTAGAAAGGTGGGGTAACAGCGATCAATCTTTTTATTATTTGGCTAAAAATTACGGTGTGATAACACATTTTTTAAAACAACAAGACCAGTTTTTTAATGGAAATGCTGATCTAACTTACTGCTCGGTTATAATTAATATCCTCTGGAGTGAATTGTTTCCACAGCGTTTATAGCAACAGCACAGGGGGCACTGGCTCTGCAACACACTGTTTTCTTTATCGGATGTTTAGAAGATGATTTCTGTTACTTCTGCCTGGCTCGGTGCCAGCTGCACCCAGCCCCACATGTGGCGTTATGTTTCTGGGCCATCCGACCAAAGGATCTTTGCACAAAGATGAACATGGATAAAAAGCTGTACTTACTGTGACAGTCTCCCAGGCCATCTGTATTGCCACGTTCTATGTCCTGTTCAAAAGTCAGTCTTTAAAAAAAGGGGGGGGCAGGGAGAAGAGAGAAACAAATTCAATAATGCGAGTCCTTACTCCAGAATGAGTCTGAAGTTTCACTACAGGAATGAACACGGTTTGATAAATTGAGTGGCAGGTGCAGAAAAAGAAGTAGATAATGGCTGGGAAATCTGTCTCCGAAGTTTATAGAAACGAGTCTTATGTGACTCTCCGAAGAGAAGCCAGGGTTTAAGCTGCTGATTCCGATATTATTCAGGAAGTTAATTAGTTGGCGGATTATTTATATCCTCCTTTTACAGATTCTTTGAGCATTTCTTAAACATTTAAAAAGTTTAAATGTTAACATAACTCTTTATAAATGGTGTAGAAATCTGTAAATTAAAAAAAAAAAAGTCTCTTCCTCTCTACTTTTTTTGACCCCAGCACTGCCTTCCTAGACCTTGATCTATTTCTTTGTGTAGAAACGACCTGTATAACAGAGTGTTCCAAGGAACAGATGGCTGGGGGGCATGTAGCACCCTTGAGGGGATGGGACGTGGTGGTGGATTGTGCTGAGACCCCCCCAGAGACCCTGTGGCCCTGTGACTCGGCAGTATTACCTGCATGCTCCCCCACAAGCTCACTCTTCTTTCAAACCCATTTGGTCACCATTGCGCTGCACAAGGTGTATAACAAGACCAATCTCAATATATCTATTTTGATTTTTTAAAATAAGCACACTGGACTCACTCAGAGGAGTACTGTCCTTTTTGGGGGGGGAGCTCCATGCTGCTTCTCACAGCATCATTGAAACTCTAGTTTGCAACTGCCTTAGAGTTTATTTTATGGACCATTTAGAAAAACTATCTGGAAAGTCACAGCCTTGATCGAATCCTTCACCATGTTTGTTTTCCAGTGTTTTTTCTGTTAAAAATCAAATTCATATTCAAAGGATAAAGATTTTCAGTGGTAGTGAAAGCCAGGATTCATCAGGCCCTGAAGGCTGTTTTCCAAGGAGAATTCCACATGTTTTGAGCAATGAAATATAGATGTAGATCCTGAAGGGAACAATTTTGGAGTTCACATGTTGACTTAAAAATTATTTTCTTTTTGAGATTTTATTTATTTATGGAAGAGAGCAACTGAACAGAGGCAGTGGGGGAGGGAAGGGGTAGAGGGAGAAGCAGACTCCCCACTGAGCAGGGAGCCCGATGAGGGACTCAATCCCAGGATCCTGGGACCATGACCTGAGCCAAAGGCAGACGCTTAACTGACTGAGACACCCAGGCGCCCCGACTTAAAAATGATTTTTAAAAATCAGTCACACCTTGAATATAGAAAGGAGATAGGTCATTTCTTAGCTTTCCTCACTGTGATTTGTGATCTTTACTCCTTCACCTCAAGGGTTCCCATGAAAAGATACAAAGCTCTAACACTAATATGTCAGTATTGCTACTTGTGAAGCTGATCTAATTATGTATAGTGAGTCAGTCCTTTGTATTAGTCAGATTTCCAGGTCAGACTTTACAACTGTCATGAGCTGTGTTTGTGGGAATACTTTCCCTCAAATTATGCATGTGGTGGTCATCAGATACGCTCTCCTGCCTGTCCAGCTATTCTAAAATGGGAGCGGAGGCTCAGAGTGATGGCAAGACAATTCTTTGCCCTCCTGGATCTGGGGACGTTGAAGGAATGGCTCATACAGAACTGTGCTGCCATATGGCACCTTCCTTGAGTTGCCATAAGTTGTCAAGGATGTGCATTGGATTTCATATCCACTAAAGTAAAGACGGGCGGGGGGGAACCTTTAATGTCATCTAAGCATTTAAAGCCAGGGTAACAATTTTAAGCACCAACATCACAGGCATGATGGACTGGCCTGATCTAGCTGATCGGCTGGAGAACTGCCAAGAATTGACTGACTCCCTAACGAATAATGGGGTCAACAGTTCTTCAGTGCAGGAGAATGGTTTATTGGATGCATACACCATCCTTGCAGTACAAATGCGTTGCTTAACAAATGCTCTGTGATCTCTTCTCGGCCCTGCATGGTCCATTAGAGGAACCAGTTTTGCTGTGGCCAGACAGACCATGGCACTAATCTACTCGGGACCCTATTGCTCCTTTTCTCTGCTGTTCTTACACCAACCACCACGATCAAGGCATGCACCTTCTTGTCCCTCTCTCCGGGGAATACTTAGAAGCCCCCTGTGTTTCTCTCCTCTGCGTTTTTCCTCAGTCTGAGGACAGATGATTAATCTATTGGAAATCCGCCACGTGCGATGTCGCCGTGTTCTATGAAATGGGAAAAGGAAGCAGAAGGGCTGGCAGTCCTGTTGGTGAGGTTTGTGCATACAGGCTTGGTGGCAGGGGTGTGTGGGAGCGTAGTTGGTGGTACGTCTAGAATGCAGAGCAGCCGAGGGCCGTTTTATGCTCTTCTGCAGCCCAGGCTCCTTACCTGCTGCTGGGTGACAGGTGGGCACAGGAACCTCCTTCCTTTACCCACCCGCAGTATGGGTCTCTGGAGGCGATGCAGGTTCTGCGGGAAGAACAGGACCATGAGCTACCCAGGACTCCGTTCTAGGACTTTCTAATGGTCAGTGAGGCCAAATACGTACTTTTTACACTTGCCGTGTCGTTCGCAGCGGCCGAGGGGCAGCTTTACCACGCAGGTGGAGAACGCAGCGTACAGCGAGCCGCTGGCTCTGTCCAGCTGCATGCCCACGATCCTCCTGTCCTCCACTCCGTCGTAGCTGCACCTAAGGGGGTGAGGGAGGCTGGTACAGTCACGGCCCCTCTCGAGTCAGTCCTCCTCCTGCTGACACCCCTCCCACCCCGCCTCCGCCCGCAGGCGGTATCTTAGTCTGCTCTCGCCCAAGGTGAAACAGATCTTCTAAGCTGCCCTCCCCAACCCGCGTGTGTGTGTCTGGATAAACACACACGTTATTGGCAAGGAGAAAATAATGCTTTTTAAGTATTAAAGTATTTTTTACAAACAATATTAAAAGTTACCCAAAAACGCATAAAACTGAAGTCTCCTATCCTCAGATTTTCTCTGAATCAAAAGGATCATAACGACAAATAATCACTAAGAAAGAGCCGAAGATTCTACGTACTTTTCAGGGTTATAAACGCTCATCTCCTCCAGGAAGATGCTGTCATTTAGGAAACCACTGTTTCCTATCCTGGCCAAGAACTTCAAGATGACTCCCTTCTCTGATCCCAGGAAAACCACAGTGTGATTCTGATACGGCCCGGCAGCAGTGTCCACTGCAATTTTGGTCAGGCGGTATCTAAAATGACAGGATCACAGTTTTTATATCTTTGTCGGTCTGTCACCAAAGGGTCCCCTTTTCCACTTCAAACAATTGTGACATAGCTTTCTAGTAATAACCTCAAGAAAAATATGTGCATATAGATAATGTTCTCAAGCTGTTCTGGTCCTTTATTTCCACATGGAGAGCATTAGTGTGGCTCCAAGGGGAGGATGGAGGTATGTGTTTGTGGAGGCCAAGTCACATAACATATAGACAGCCGTAACCATCTGAAACCGCTCAGCAGTGATCTCTTCCATGAGCAGCAAGGAAGGGCTGAGGTCTCCCAGGAAGAGGGGAAGAAATACTACTAACCCAACTCATTTAACATTTCATTTAACACTGAAAAGAAAAGCAACAGCTACCAGTTTTCCATACTCTGCCTCTGAGGTGCAAAGCCTTGTCAGCAGAATGTCAGATTGGAAAGGTTTCCAAGTGTACGTAGAGGGGCTGGGAAAGTTCTGAAGGATGGGAAAGTGGTGTGCTGATGGCACTATAAATAAATACGAGGACGTGCAAGCCAAACAAGGTCCATTTAAAGCCATAGGGCAAGGACATTAGTCCTTCAATAAGCCCTATCAGGCACCATCTTTATTGGGTATCTCTCAGCTGTCCACCACCTCCGTGGATACCCATTTGTGCCAGGCGCCTTGGCAGAAACCAGAAAACACGGACCCTCCTGCAAGTTATATACCACAGTTTCCATTTTATGGGCAGGAGCCATTATAGTACTTTTAACATCTTCCCATAAAGTCACCGTTTAAAAATGGTGGTAAAGTTGGATAACATTTTGTTTGATGACTGCCGCCAACAAGATGGCGCTTGGGAAAGCCCGTGGAATAGTTTGGAAATAAGCTCTAAAGAAATACAAGAAGTATTTAACGCTATCGCAGATTTCTAACCAACTGCCCCTTCTCTGGCCACCCCTTCAGGTTGCAAATGGCACAGCATGAACCCTTCACGCTCGCGTACTTGTGCAAGTGTCGCTCATCCCTGGTCTGTGTGACAGCTAACGAGCTGGGGGCAGGACTTGGATGGAATCTGGAGCATGCTTTGCAACCATATCCAACCAAACAGGTATCCACATCTATCGACTGGTTCTCCTTCACTGCTTCTCTGCTTTTGCCCAGAAGACTCTCACCCGGAAGGAGATATCTTTGTTACCTCTAATTGCTGGCATGGGTCCAGTTAGCCTGAAAATATCAGAACTCATCTCACTGGGAATGTGGTGATGGGGGTTTTGTGGCAGGCACCCAACTGGCCAGCATTTCATAGCTGAACCAATGCCCAGGATAACAGAAGATGTTTGTGGCATTTCAAATCATGATCCACCAATAGGTTCTGTGAACATGAGATGGAGTAGGGAAAAATCCATTTTGGACGTGATTTGCTTGACACCCACCTGACCATCGTCCTCAGGAACCACGGCCTGTTGATGACAGAAGGCACAGCCTCATCCATGAGTGGGTGCGTTTTGATGAAGTTCAGGGTATCATCGGGAAACTCATTGGAGGTTGCGTATTTTTCTAAGGACGATGAGCCAGCGCAGCAACCTGGCCTAAAAAGAAACAAAGGGAGGGAGCTTTTTTTCATGCCTTATGGCAAATTCTTTGAACGAACTGCTTCCCTAAGCATCTGGCATGAGGGAGAATATACTGTAGGCTGAAAAGAGGAAGTGGAATGATGCAGAATGCCACCAAATAAAATATGCTTAGATTTTCTCCTGGCCGCCTCCTCATTCTGTACAGAAGCTCCAGCCAGGGCAGTTCAGCTTCAGCCGGGGGCAGCTTGGCTTATCCCCAGAAGCACAAACCCCCCAAACACTGATGGAGCTTAAAACAGGGGAGGAAGTGTGTGCTTCGCCCACGTGCCCCAGGCTCTGCTACCTGTCCTAAAACCGTGTGGGACGTTCTTGAGGCACTTGCTCTACAGGAGGAGAGAATGCAGCTGACGTCAGCACGGATGTAGTGGCCAGCCGGCAACGGCTCACTGTAACCGGCTCCCCTTACCGGGGGTCCGAGAACATGCAGTTCTGTTTTTATTGTTCTTGTTTGATTTGGGCAGGTATGAAAATTACAATTACACTGAAGATGCTCTCCCGAAAGGTCATTTCTTGATTTCTGAACAGTGACAGTGAAAAGTCATTTCTACAAGCAATTCCGTGGTTTCAGGAGTCAAGGGACAGCCTCGTACAGTCAGGTCAGGGAAACACCGACAACAGTCCTGTTCACAGCCCGGCTCTGCCTGCTGGTTCAGGAAAGCACACTGGACCCTGATAGCACTGGCACGATCTGGCCTCATTTATACACCATTTTATGGCACTAACCAAGCCAGCCTCGTGAAAGCATCCTGATGTCGGCCAGAGGAATGAGGAAGCACGTGGAAGGATGGGGGAAACACATTGCCACCGTTAGAAAGTCAAAGTATGTGTCCTGGCCATAGCCAACTGACACCATCTTCACACACCAAGGGGAGCTATTCTATAAGTACTCCCTGAAACCTCATTCCTCAACCGTACCTCCCCTTCCTGCTTATCTAGAAAGTAGCTAACATTCCCAGGCAGTGAAGTGACTTTTAGAGGATCTCTCTGAGCTTGCCTTAGTGTGCTTTTTGCACCTAGTCTGCTCTCCGTGAGTAACCGTATACACACAGCAGATAATTCAGGTGATGGAGATGGATGAACCACAGAGGTTTTTTCCCCCTGGGTAGAGTGGTTCATGTTATCAAAGTCAGTTCAATTAAGTGGATGGGGTTATTTTGTGTGGGGGTTTGGTGGTTGGAGGAGAGGGCTGCAAACCAAAAAATGAAGATATTGGGCTTCTTTGCAGGAGCCCACAAATTCAGTGGAGGAAGCTGGACATACAGATTCTTCTATAGAACTTAGATGGCACGTGTTATAATGGAAATGTGCAGTGCGTGCCACATGAGGAGGGCAGGCGCAGGGGCGGGGAGAGTTTCATCCTGTCCGTGGAGAGAGAATGAATTAGCTGGCTTAGTGTGAAGATTTCCCGGAGGTCACAGAGGACCAAGAAGTCTCTGCGTTGTCCTGTGACAACAGGTTTTCCATGAAAATGATTCTGGGGCTCTACATTTTGGTGGAGGGATATGGACTGTTTCTGGATCCACAACAGACTAGAACCTGGTAGAGCAGAGAAAACGTGATGGTCCACTGTGCCCACTGGTCTCTACCTGCCCTTGCCCCAGAGTCCTGGACGCAGCTCCGATCCAGCCTGGTTACAGAATCCAGGGATCACCATGTATATTTCACGTTTCATTAGGGTGTAAGGACATGGGTCTCTATAAAAGGGACGGGGAAGCAGGGTGGAGTGGTGGAAATAACCTACTCAGGTCTGTGCTCTTGCACAAGACACATTCTGCCTCTCCGAGCCTCCCATTTTCTCAGATACACAGCAGCGGGGCTGCACTGGATGCTTCCCATCATCCTAGGATTACACTGGATAAGCCACAGGGATAGAGGTTAAGTAGAAGACTCGAGCCATTGTCGTTTTGAATATAACTATAGGTAACGCTGAGTTTAGGTTAAGGAGATGAAGGCAAATGGCTTCCTAGGGCTTTCTGTTGTTCCAGCATTTGTGTCTCTGGGGCCCCCTGGAAGGCGCCAGTGGGCAGTTCTTTAAGACGTTCACTGTCAGAGGACCAAGCTGCCCACTTCTCGCCGTTCAGAATCACCACGTAAATATTTACACATACCTGGGCTTGGGCACGCGTTCATCAGGAACTGGTGTCCAAGTGGAATCTGGAGACTTCTGTTCTTTGAACCTCCCCGTGAAAACATTGGCAATGTCAAGCATGTCGTAGGCACACACTGCTGACCCGGGGATGCTGTAACGTAACATTTCACACAGCGTTACTCTCAAAACAGTTATGCATGTAGCTTGGAAAACAGACTCCGAAGCAACTCTCCTGTTACGGGCATTAGAAATTTAAAGTTCGCACCCTGATACTGTAAGGGAGCCTAGGATACACAGCTAACGTTTCTCTGAATCAAGTTTGCGTCGGTGGCTTTAAAGAAGGGACTGCTTAATAGCAAACTCATAGAGAAAAACCTCTTCATGTTGTTATTGCTTTTGGAACCGCATGTGTTTATAACTGGTGGTTTAGAAGGTTCAGAAATTCCCTGAATTTTCACTCACTAACTTTAAAGATAAAATCTTTGGAAAACATTTTGCATCTCTAATATTGGTGTACATTTGAAGTAAAAGTGTCTCACCTGTCCACATATTGCTTCTTTGAATTCGGTTTCTCCAGCCAGGGACCCCAGGAGTGAGAATGTATGTGTGGGGAGAGCATGCTTATTTTCTGTTCGTCACCGCCCATTTTAAGTTTTACTTCCTATTTATTTGCATGAGACGAAACAACGTAAGTCTCTAAAGCACCAACATTTTGCAAATAAAATGCTCTATTAAGTGCTAAATAATAATAATGGTGGTAATCTCTACCTATAATTACATCCTTCTCTGGTGCTCATCAAAGGACTTGGGGATGTTTTTAATCAGTGGAGAGAAGGCATGAATTATTCATTCATTTGAACCCATGTTTGTTTTTAACTATGGTCATTCCTTGATTTTGATCAAATAAATTGCAGGCACCAGCCGGCCAAGAGTTTTCACCAGGCTTTGAGGTAGTGGCCATTGCATGGGCAGGAGCCTCCAGGCCAAGACACGGGCGCTTTGCAGGGTGGTAACATCACCCAGGGCAGGGAGACTGGTTTAGTCTTGATTTTGCAAACATTGAAAGGATAGAGAAATCGCTTCCTAAGTGATTAGGGGAATTTTCTGTCATCTTTAATTTCATAACACAGTTATTGAAGTATTACTAATAAAGCAAGAATTAGGGAGAGGATTAGAAAGCTTGTTTAAAATAAGGTGGTGGGGGGCGCCTGGGTGGCTCAGATGGTTAAGCGTCTGCCTTTGGCTCAGGTCATGGTCCCAGGGTCCTGGGATTGAGTCCTGCATCGGGCTCCCTGCTCCTTGGGAGCCTGCTTCTCCCTCTGCTTCTCTCTCTCTCTCCCTCTCTCTCTCCGTCTCTCATGAATAAATAAATAAAATCTTTAAAAAAAAAAAGGTGGTGGGATGAATTTTCAAATATGTAGAATATATATACATTGTGCACAGAATTGGATAGATAACGGCAGTGATCTCCTTCGGTTTCGGAATCTCAGAGCCCTAGCATTACTTACTATATGTATCTACTTTAAATATTATGACAAATAGGATAAATGTTTGAAGTATTTTATGAGGCATCTCCTAATAACTAAAGTTACCCTAGGGTTTGATCATCCGTCTTCCCCGGGTTAGAATCACTTGTGAAATCCTTTCATCTGCCTTCCTTTACTCCCTCCCACCTCCGTTCATCTTTCCTTCATTCGTCCTTTCTTCCCACCTTCTGTTCCTTCAGTGTGTATTTACGGAATCCCTAAACTCCAGCAGCAAATGCTCCGTGGTAAAGAACACGGGGCCTCGGCTGGTGTGTGTCGGTGGGGCTGGCAGGCCTGGCAGGGTAGGGCACGAATGGGCACAGCACCCCAAGAGCTCACGTTTGGCTCCATCCAGTAAAGCCCGTGGAGTTGGAGGAGGAGATAGCCTGGCCGTGGGGGGACCTGTGTGCTCCACCAAGGAACTTGGGTTTTATTCCCAGGGCAAAGAGGAGCACTCAAGGGCTTGAAACAGCCCTTCACGACCAAGTTTGTATGTGTGGAGGATGGGGGTGGGAAGGGATGAAACCAGAGACAGACTCTAATTAACAGATGAAAATGGGTATGTGCATTGTTATCATTTTCTGATTTTACTGAACAAAGAAGGTTTCTGAGACTGCACAAGCAGGTACTAATTGGGGGCTTCCTGGGGACTTTTAAGAAAATACTTTAAACGGAGTATTTATAATATACAAGAATCTACTCCTGTATTGTAATTACACAGTAACTCACCCTCAAACCCCCCCCTCCCCAAACAAACTAGACATGTGCTTTGAAATTCCTCTATCCCCTGCATTCCCACGTACCAAGACAGATTCTTTTAAACAGTCCTACATACTTGGGTTCCAAAGTATGAACAGTCACAGCCTGGATTTTTGTATTTTTCTATTCTCTAGTCTAAAAATCCCTGCAGACGGTTAAAGCTCACTTAGATGGAACTGAATGCTTCTCGTTGCAATATGGATTCATATTTTCATCTGTCTTCGATGGAGAGCTCTTGACTCTCGTCCTCCAGATAACTGAGGAACATTAGCACGTCCTTTGGCATGTTCTGTTCCAGACTCTCCCTAGTTCGTAAGCATTTCTACGCACTGTGCTCCAGTCTCCTCATGCAGGTGCCTGTCATCTAGATACCCATCAGCTTCTTAAAAGTCTTGATAAAAAGGATGATCCAGACCCTTAATGGTGTGTATCCAGAGGAAGACAGTACAGAACATCCCAAGTTCTCCACAGAAATGAGAATGAAGTTCCTGTTTTTAGGTTTTATGACCATGCCTGGTTATGCTCATTTTCACACAGCAGAGCTAGGACTCTAAGGTTTAAGGTCTGGAAGAACTCATGCCTGCCTTCCTCCTATTTTTTTAATCTCTGCACATTTCTGCTGCCCCAGGAACAATTTTTAGTTTGTCATTTGATTACTCAAAGACTTAGCTTAAATAAACATGAACACAGGAATGAACAGGCTGACAGTATTTCTAGGTACGTTGTTTCATGACTTGTAAGTCCTCACTCAAGCCCCCGGAGTCAGTGGTCGTTGGGAGTCTAGGTTCCTCGGACAGATAATAACTAGGGTGCCTTAGGTTGGATGCACGATGGACTCGTTGGAATCCTGCACACTCTGTAGCCTTTAAATACATTTTCAGTGTTTTCACTTCAAAAGGTAATCGATCCAGTCATAGAAATATTAAAAGTCACAGAGAACGTTAGATGACCTTGAGGAGGAAGGAGGCATGCTCTTGAGTTCTAAGGGTGTCTCTTTCATCTCCTGACTACTGGGACCAGGTGACAGAATTGAGTTTAGTTTCCTCAGGTGTAAAAAGAGGGCAACAGTATTCAGTTTCCAGTACTACTGGAGATATTTAGAAATAACACGAGATGTGTTTCCACGCCAGGCATATAAATAGGAGATATTGTTAAAATTTATCTAATTACTTGCCCTAAAATCCTAATCTAATAATGCTTATAACTGTTAATTTGTTGATGAAAATGGAGTGTTAAGTGCTTCGCAGCTACATATAGCGAGTGGCGCGTTTGGTGTCAGTTGTGAATCTTGCGCATTGGGAGAGACACACCCCCGCCCCCCCCTCCCCCGCCGCGGGAAAGGGAAGCCCAGAAGGACCGGTGAGGTCAGCGCTGCTAGGGCACGGTTACCTGTTATAAGGTGTGGAAAAGGTGGCCAGCACAACATCACGGCCGTTAATGTGAATCACGTCTGTGACCGCCTGGAGTATGTTAAAATAAAAATGAGAGTCTCCGGGAACCGAGCAGTTGAGGCGAGCCTTCAGGAAGGACGTCCACTGTTTCTCCAGGACTCTTTGAGATCCTCCCATGTCATTCTTACAAACCTGAGCCACTCTCGGGAAAACTACCTGCCGAGGAAAAACACACCGGGAAAATGAAATGCAGTCAACTTGGCGAGATCTTAGTAGAGTTTGCCTTTCTTAGAAAACAGAAAGACAATAACAAGGTGCTTAATTTAATCCCGTGTTTCTTAAATTAGTAGCAAAAAAAAAAAAAAACAAAAACGGGGAGGGAAGACTCATTGGAACAGCATGTTTTGAAAGATAAGGCTGTGGCATTTAGTACAGAGCCATAAATCCTTCAGGGGATCAGCTCCCAGCCAGATAAACTCATTTCCATACAGACTGCTTAGCTTTTTATTTCCTCAAACAAAAGCACGCTTTGTATGCGCCATTTCTGCCATCCTCACTGGCTGCCTCTGGGCCCTGAATCTCATGCTCCGAATTCCGCTAACCCTGCAAGCCACCCTGGCACTGAATTTGTGCCCTCCAGCTTTGTGACCTTGATCTACTCTCTGGTAAAGATAACTGATGTGGACATCCCGTAAGTGTTCTCCTGTTTTTTGCAATAAAGACAATCAAGACTCTCAGTGTGCTTAAGGGTGCTGGGTATTTACTCTCCTTCTGTGGAACAACTCCATTAAAAAGAAAAAAAATGATGAGTATACCTGGAAACCACCTCTCAAGATACTTGAGACTCAGTGTGAAATCAACCAAACATCTGTCGATTACATTTTCAGTAGAAATATTTCAGAGGTTCCCCGTGATCTGGGACTGTTCTGAAAAAGGCTCACAGCGCTCTGAGGCAGGACTGTGTTCACTGCCACCAGTCTTTGGCATAGTCTTCTCGAAATGATGACCTTGGGATTAGATTTCTGGTTCTTCTTTCAAGGTCATTCACAGCAACATTGGTCTGAGTGAGACTTCTATCCGCCTTACCTTTCCCATGGTGTTGTACTCCACTGCTATTTCCCTGAAGAAGAAGTAGATGTAGTCTCCATAATCCACTGCTTGGACAAAGTATGGTTCTGTGGGCAAATGGCATTGTAATTGGGGACATGTCACACAGAGTTAACTTCAAATCAGTGGCAACCAGAGACATGATATTAATTAAAAGTGTAGGGCCATTAGACATGGGGTTAACACGAACTATTTCTAATGACCACACATGCAAGTGCTGGTGATTCCAGAAGGCACTCGAGCCTACAAATTCCATCTTTCAGAAGTGGTGGCAATGAACAATGAAGAATAAATGAATTTTCGTATGTCTCTAATTTTATTTTCCACAGTGGAATGCCGTATTGCAGAAAGGATTTTGTACACATCTCCTCGTGAACCCTGACTCATTCACGGTTGTGAATAGCTTTTCTCCTGCTCCCCACCACCTCCAGTCCCCTGTTCCCTTCCATGAATGAAACGTTCAGTTCTTTTCACGTTAGACTCTGAAACGAGAGCTCGAGGCAGGAAAGATGAATGTACTGTATTCTTTTGTAGTGGCACTGGCCGTTGTGTTAATACTCCAGAAACTCATGGGAAGTGAATGGGGGAAGTAAAGAAATCAGTTGGGGCAAAAGATGCCGCTGCCACCTTCCTGTCTGTTAGAAGCCATTACTGGGTGCCTGGGTGGCTCAGTTGGTTAAGCGACTGCCTTCGGCTCAGGTCATGATCCTGGAGTGCAAGGATCGAGTCCCGCATTGGGCTCCCTGCTCAGCAGGGAGTCTGCTTCTCCCTCTGACCGTCTTCCCTCTCATGCTCTCTTTCTCTCTCTCTCTCAATAAATAAATAAAAATCTTTAAAATTAAAAAAAAAAAAGCCATTACTAACATGAGTCTACGGTCTAGTCTGTCCAGGCCCTAAATCTCCCTCAAGCTACGTATCTCCCCCTCACACCCCTCCTCCTAATTGTTTGTTCACCTTTCAACCATTTGGAATCATGCTTGACGGTCCGTAGGGTTGGGCTGTCTCCAAGACTCCGGTAAATGACTGCATCGATGGCAAGGAAGTCAGTCACTGTGGCTGAGTATAGTTTCCCATCTTAGAAGAAAAAGAAAAGAGGTGAACGGGGTGGGAGCAAGGCAGTGGGCATCGGGGAGTAATAGAGACATCCCCCGGACTGCTTTCCTACATCAGGCAAATGAGATAGGACAACTGGGAAAAATCCAAGAGTCGCTGGGAAAATACTTGGGCCACATTCCTAACCATTTTAAATTAGGATCTTGAGAGATGAAACATTTTTCATTTTTAAATTGCATGGCAATTTCTAAGCAGCAGCAGCTCAGGGAAGAGGGCAAATGAAAAATGTTGTTTGCTTCATTTGATTAGATGGACCTTGGCTGGAATCTCAAGGCCAGGGCCCCTCGGACACTGCTAATTCCACCACACCGTGGCAAACTGGATTAGGTGGGGGCCCAGGGAAAGCTAGAAACTGATCATATCACCAGAAATTGTAAGTATGAGAAGTGATGGGAGTCCTTAGCCCCGGCAGGTGAGGGGAGTCAGAGAAAGGGGTTTCAGAAGCGAAAAGAAGTTGACTAAATTGCTCCTTTGATCATGAGACTCACTGCTTCTCTTTACTTCAGTCATGAGAGCCACTGAACCCTGCCCGTGGAGCTTCAAGAAGAGATACTTGCTTCAGTATTTCAAAGTCCTAAGCTGCAAACATTCTGACATTGAAGATACCAAAGCAAGGAAAAAAGGGGAAGGGGTGACCCCATTGAGCCTGGCCTTCGTTTGAGATTCATGCCTTTCGGGAGATGCACTTTAGGGTCCATCTAAGGCAGAAGAGCATGAAGAAAGCTGAAGATTAATCCCTAATGCTTTTGGCTCTTTTCCTGGATTAATAAACATCCTGTGTACAAATAATCCAGTAGGATCTTCTGGAATAGTAAAATCTATGCAGTATGTGAAACAGAAACAATAATTACATTCAAAATAAAGTACTTCCTTGGTTCGTTTTTAGTGGATACGTTCATCAGTTTTATGTCCAAGTGGCTTATATACACTACAGAACCATTTCAGCTCTTCCACTGGCGGGATAAGCATCATGGTTTTTTTTAGAAAAGTTTATCCCAACGGATCTAAGCAAAGTTCTCAATGTCTCCTTTTGGCCTAAAAATAACTGAAATTTGCTGAGGTTCGAGTTAGAGCTGTCTTGACATCTGCATTATTAACAGCCATCTATCAATAAATGTTGACTGGTTAGATTAGAACCACAGATGGCAAACCTAGCTATTGATAAACACATGTCTACAAAAATCACAGCTTTTCTTAAAGAATCAATCAGAGCCCAGGTCATGCAGTTATGCCAGGTAGTTGGGGGCAGTGGGAGGGCAGCGTGTGTCTGTGTGTGTGTGTGTGTGTGTATTTTCCATCCGCTTCCCATTACACTTTTAGTTGTGCATTCAACATTGGGTATCTCACCAGAACTTTTATTTATAAGACAGAGCACTACTGTGCTACTCTTGCTAAGATGACAACCATTTTAGTTGCAACAAGGATCTTCTATTAATAAGGGCTGAGCTTTTATGAGATTTCAAACTCTCCAAGTATACCTGTTGGGGGAGGAGGAGGGGTATTCAGAGTATTGCCTCACGGGGCTTGCTCGGTGGAGCTCCTGGAAGGTTCCTGGAAGGTTGGCGGCCTGAGCCACTACTCTGACGCCCCCCCCCCCCCCGCCTTTAGTTGACAGTTAACTTTTCCACGGTGGCCCACATCCTCCGTGATACCAGCAGGCTCAAGTGTCAGGGAGGTGCTGTAGCATAAGTTATGCACTCAGGTACTCTTTGCTCTGGCCTTGCTCCTGCTCGTGCTGACTGACAGGTTTACATGACTTTTTTACAAAGCCGAGCATCCTCCTGATACCGCACTCTAATGTCAGGGGAGAGCCTGAGGAACCCTTCTTGGCACAAGCCATTTCTCCACTTTGGGACTGTAGATTGAGGCTCACAAATGCATGGTACTGAGGATGGGGTTCAAGGAGCTAAGCTTGTTTCATAATCAAAACTCTAAAGTTCCTCATCGAGCTGGGATGTGCCAGTTTTGAGCTGTTGTAATGGAAATTATAGCTAACTGGTTTATTACATGCTATAACAATCACTATTATACCAACACTTCTCCCCACACCCACCTCCACACAGCTGGCAATGAATTCCTAAATAAATTCCTAATTAAAACACACACACACACACACACACACACACTCACTCACTCACTCACTCATATACACGAGAATCCCAATCTGAAGATGATGGCTTAGTTGCTGAGCTTTCTATCCTTTGCAGGGCAAGGAAGGGGAGAGGATGAGGAGTATGCATCACCCTAAGCTGATCCGCATCCCCCCCATCCCCCGTTATCTTCCCATCAGAGAGAAGCACGCACCCTTATCAGGTCAATGGTATTTGAGGTGTCTGCTGGAAACTTGTGGGCAGGTGGCCTCCCTGCTTGGAGATCTTCCTGCAGCTTTACCTTGTCTCCTCCCTTTCCCCTTCTAGATGTGGACAAGAACACACATAGCCCTAACTGGAGCTGGTGGCCACCCCGTGTTTGTGAGAGCCGCCCATCCCTCTCCGACAAAGAATTGGAAGAGAGCAGAGAAGTGAAAAGGCCCTGTGTCCCAGATGACGCTACTGAGCCGTTGAATCCTACCAGCCCCAAAGTCGGTCCTACCTTGAATAATCTACACTGGCCATTCGAGGTGGGATCTTTGATTATGTGAACCCAAACATGCCCTAAACAATGTGTTGCACATTCGGGCGAAGCTGCGATCCCTTTTCTAAGGCAGACAGGCCTGGGGAAGGGTGGTGGAGACTCCTTGTACAAAGCAGAAGTACAATTTCTATGTGAATTTCAAACGGAAAAGGCATTGTTAATTACGGTATTCACCAGAGAATCAAAGTACAGCTGTGACTTGGCAAATCCTCCAGAGCAGATTCACAGCAATAGGTGCGAGAGGGCAAATGCAACGGGAAGAAATCAGGTGGTTTACCTGCAAACAGTGCAACGTTGGCGTGTTTGGCATCGTATGGGCATCTGGCCATTCCACTAAATTCATCCCCAAAAGGTTCCAGAGTATCCATCTAAATGAAATAATGGGACTTCATTAGGAACAATAACAACCAACAGTAGTCATAGCAACTAATATTTATAAAGCACTTAACATGTGAAGTAATTCATATGCATAGTGCAGAGCATCCTCAAATACCCTCTGAGATACGTCTGTTGGTTTCAGATGAGGAAACTGAGCTTTGGAGAGATGAACTCACTTGTCCGAGGTTCTATAGCTAGGAGAGTCTGAGATTCAGTCATGTTTCCTTGACTCTTAACTGTTACAGTAAATAGATTCCCATATCCTTTTGGAACAGCCTAGAAATAAGCATCTTTTCTTTGGAAAAGGAATTTTTAAGGCAATCACTGGGAAAACTTCCTCTCTTCCTCCCCCACTGCCTCTGGATTAAATGTTGAGTCATAAACTCTGTAGAGAATGATCTCAGTCTTTGGTTTTTGTTTTGCCTAAGGAGCCCTGCCTTTGTGGGTTAAATCCCAGTAGAAGACACTGGAATTCTTCCTGTGGCTAGCCGGCAGAAGAGTACTGTGTCAGGAGAGGTGCAGAAACACTGATGCAAGCAGAGCTCAGGTGGCCTTTTGCACCAGCTTCAGAAACCTGTCCCAGCCTCCAATCATGTAGATCAGGTGGAAAGGTCCAGAAGGTAAGGGGCTCACACAAGTCAAAGGCGGTCAGGAGTGGGGCTGCCATTTGACATCCACATGTGTGCTCACCCCAGGCCTTGTTCCTCCTGCGTGCTGGAGGTTATAACTGGTCTGTCAGTGAGGTTTGTTTGGCCATCTTAGTATGGACAGAAAGAAGGAGGGGAGGGAGAGTGAATAAAAAGAAAGAAGAAAAACTGAGCTCTATTTTAAAATAAGGAGATTGTAAATGAAACCTGATTTCTTATTTTTGAGCAAGTGGAAAAGTCAAGCCTTTTTTTTACCCAAGTGGCAGCAACCAGCTGTAAGCGAACTAATGACCACCCTGCTATTTTCTTCAAACAATCATATGGACTCCAGGACTGAGGCCTCTTTACCCACAAAGTATACGTACACCCTACTTAGCTTACTCCCGCAGGTTACCCACCTAGCTTCACAGGATTTGTGGGTGTGCTAAAGCCTTGCTAGTGAGGTAAAGCCTCACCAAATTCTGTTTCCCTTTCCTCCACGTCACACTAAACTACATTTCCCACCCTTCCCTGCAGTTAGGTGTGATCACGGAAGGAGCTCTGGCCAACAGAATGGGGGTGGAAAGCCATGTGCCGCCTCTAGGGCTTGCCTCTACAGTGTCCTCCACTCTTGCTCTCTCTCTTTCTATCTTCTGCCCCGCTAGATACAAAGGATCCAGTCCAGAATCCCAAGATCCTAGGAGACGGCAGAGGTAGGAGCAGGATGAAGCCTCCTGCATAACCTAGTGGAGCAGACCCTCTGTCACTGACCTGCACTCAACTGTGATGTGAACAGGAAAGAAACTTCTCTTGGCCAGCCCCTAACATTAGTCAGAGGTTGGCCTACCTTGACCAGTAAATCGTTGGTTTCTGCCTTCTACCATGTGGTCTTTTTCCTTACACCATGGGATCTCCCTAGCATTTACAGCTCAGTACCAGAGTCCATAAAATTATCTCCTCCACGTCATTAATGTTTTTATAACCCTCTGTGGTTCAGTCTTCTTTTTATAGTTTGAGGGTATCTTGTTTACACCTGGTAGTTGCCTGGTTTGACTGTAGATACAAAACTGGAAGAAGAGAAGCCTGAGACAGCAGTGGTGCCCAGGGAGGATCCACTGAAAGGCACGGAGTCAGGGGCCCTTAAATCAAGGTGTTTGAAGTCGTGCAGGAGGAGTGAGGTGCTTACTGAGTGGCTGGTAGTGTTGTCCAGTCATGTTTTTTGCCCTCAACCCCCAGGAAACGGTTTCAGGGATATGACAGAACTTCTGTAACTGCTTTGAGATAGCTCCTATTGAAGCTCATCTTATCTGTTCAAACTTGTTGAGAATCCCAATAGCATTTGTATTAAAAACATGTATTTTTAGGGGAAAGATGTTCAGGTGAGACATCCTTTAAATGCACACTTCTTCCCTCAGCATACTTTTATGAAAGGTTTTTTGTTTTTTTGTTTTTTTAATATATATTTTATCCCAATAAGAGCATCGTGTTGAATTGTGACAGGCTTTGTGGTCTGTGGGTCTGGCAAGTATCCAGAAGTAATGCTTAATACACAGTGATGCAGTGGAAATGCCTTTACCCCCAGCAGTGCATGCTGTAATCTTGGCAATGGGGAGACAATATACAAGGGGGATTTATGTTATTAAATATACCTACTTCTAAAAAAAAAAAAAAGAACCATAGCTATAGCAAGTCAAAGGCAAGAAGCAGTGAAGTATTAATGTTTTGGTTTGTGATTCTGGAAGGGTCCAGAGACAAAACAATGCCATGGTGAAATCCTCTTTCCATGAAGTTAGGACTAATCCTTGTGGTAGTCTCCAAATCTCAGACTTAACAGCAGCCCCTGGAAATTAAATCACCAGAGGGTACAGGTAATTATAGTAAGAACCAGCCTGACTTTTTGCACAAGTTCAAGAGGTTTAGAAAGAGCAGGAGGGAAAAGACATGGAGTGTAGTTTTAGATTTATAGTGGGTGGCCTATGGAATTCTTCCCCAGATAATCTTATTTGGGGCTCTAATCTTTCTATTACATTCAGCTTGCTTCTGTTTTAAAACTATGTAAATTGGGGCATGGTGCAGAGGTAGAGACCAAAAATTTGTCACTCTCCTGCTTCAGGTTAGTATAACCAACTTGATTCTTCTGCACTAAGAGACTTGGTTTTTTGGGGGTGGGATGGGGGAAGACTGCTCATTGTTTTTGCTTTGAACCTATAGTCCTGATCTGTTCATAAAAAGCACTGAAGAGAGACTGTCCATTCTTCCTGCAGCCAAGTACATTCTTGTCTCACACCATCCACAAAGTCCTGCTCTGCCCCGAGGCTGAAAACCCACTTCTCTGAGCACTGCCAAGGCAGACAGACAGGACTGTGCGGGACGAGCATCCCTTGTGTGGTTTCTGAGAGGCCCAGGCTCCTGAATGGGTCTCTGCAGGTGCGGCTAGAACCAGCGAGAGGTGACGGTCTCACCACCCAGGTGAGGCGTCCGGGGGAATGGAACACGTGCGCGAAGAACGAGCTAGACCACTCCCCCAGCCTGTGTATCACAGTGCCAAGAAAACCTGTCGTTTGTCATAAAAGATAGCTTTCCAGCTAGGGAATTGGTTGGGAATTGTGAAAAGCATTAATCTTAATGAGTCCTAAACAATGACAAACAGGGATGGAATATTAAGTGGGAGAATTGGAGTCACGTCAGCTGTTACGCTGTCACTGGCGAGAGGAAATGTTTGGCCCGACTGCCTGCTACAGACCGAATAGATCCTGTCATTATTAAGTTTGCTATTTTAGGATAGTGTTTTTTACATTAATTTAGATTTTGAAAAGTACTGCATTAAAAATATCACTTACCTTACCTTGATACTGAATGTTTTTGGTGCACCCCTTACATTTTGTGCCTGGGGCGCATGCCTTCCTTGCCTCACCCTAATCTGGGCCCTGCTGGGGCCCACTTGTAAGTGTCAGATAGAAGATGAGCGTGAGGGTAAGACCCCCCCTCTGATGCCAGTGTGAAGGCTGAGGGTCTTTTAAAAACTGTCCGGCGAAAGGTTGGTGAGCCCTCTGGTTTGGATATCAGCCCATCATTTCTCTTCCCATTCTTCACACGCCGAGGGGGTTCACTTTATGCTGGTGAAACCCTAATGTGTATTTCGCTCCCCGGCTCTCCCTAAATCAGGGCTCACCCATCCATCTTGTTAGCTCTGTCTGTCCACATCCCCCAGGCAGTGCCATCCACTGGGCTGGGTGTCCTCACAGAGCGCAGAACTGAAGCCCCATGTCCTCACAGCCGGGTCCCGCACGTCCTCACGGCCGGGCCCCCCCACGTCCTCACGGCCGGCCCCCCCACGTCCTCACGGCCGGCCCCCACGAGCCCCAGCGCTCTCCTGCTCTTACTCCCCGTCCCCGACGCTGGCAGCTCCATCCATGCCCTTCCCCGAGAGAGCCTAGCAGTCATTCTCAACTCCTCCCTCTCCTTATCCTGGGCTGCATATTGGTTTTTTTTTTTTTTTTAAATATTTTATTTATTTACTTGACAGAGCAGCAGAGGGAGAGGGAGAAGTGGGCTCCCCGCAGAGCAGGGAGCCCAACGCGGGGCTGGATCGCAGGACCCTGGGATCATGACCTGAGCCGAAGGCAGACGCTTAACCGCCTGAGCCACCCAAGCGCCCCTGCTTATCAGTTCTTAACTACTACTGGTTTTTCCCCGAATCTGTTCTCTTCCCTTCGTCCCCATCCCCATCGCCCCCTACCTCTCCAGTTATTGTCACTTCTCAGTTATTGTCACTTCAGGGTCCAGCACTCAGATCCAAAGGAAGTTTCTCAAGCTCAACAGAATGTTTCTTACTCAGTGCCTTTGTTCATGCCGTTCCCTCTGCCTGCAATACCCTTCTCTCCTCCTTCGGCTAACGTCTACTTCTTTAAAACAAAGGTTAGCCTTCTCACCCACTGTATACCCCACACAAATGAGCGGAGCACCTGTTGGGAGGGACTGGGTCAGGCCGTGGATAGTCACAGAGCTTGAGGGTGTCTCCCGGACTGGGGGCGTTCATGTTCCCTATGTGAGAACAGCAGTGGGGAGCATCTGGAGAGAGGGGTCATCTACTTCCTTCTGGAAGCCTTCTCCGGTTCCTCATGTCTGGCTAAGCTTAGCACCTTTCTGCTGTGCTTCCATAATGCTCCGCATTGAGTTGCCGCGGTAGCGGCCCATGGAATGATATTTCTCTTCTCCCTGTCTGGCTTCCCTAAGGATGGAGGCCCCCTCTTCGGCCTTACAGCCTCAGTGCCTGACCACGTGAGAAACACAGTACATGTTTGCGGAAAGAAGGGCTGTGGCAGAAAGAACGGGCAAGGGGGGCTGACAGATGTGAAGCCAAGACCTTAGCTCATGGCCACCTCTGCTCCTGCTGCTTCAACAGCACCTCTGTCCGCCGCTCAGAGCCAGCTGGATTTGTTAATCCTCCCTTGCATGGAGGCCCCAGTGGGTAAGGCCACTGTCAGGTAAACTGAGTGCTAAATGGAATTAAATTTCCACGGTCTTAGAAATATCTCCTGGAAGAAGGTCCACAGTTTCCAGTGGCATGCTTTTGAGATACCTCTTAAAATAGGAATCACTCACAACCTAAGTGTGTTTTTGTGCTGCGAGGAGACGGTGGGGTGGGAGAGAGAAAGAGGAAATCCACACGGTATACATGGAAAAGTCTGTTGGCGTTTTGAACAATGAAGAATAGGGTCTTAGAGAAACTAACTTTGCTGGGTAGGCTCCTTAAAGATGTGTCAGTCAATCCTGCACAAACAGGAAGCTTAGGAGCCTGCTCAGGATCACTCATGTGGAGCAGTACATTAAATCCAACGAGGGAGAGGAACCCAGATGGTGTTGAATTACCCCTCTTAGGCTGCTGCAGGTACAATCACAGTAAATCACGGAATACCTCCAGCCCATGTGGTCCCCAACTGACAAAACCGCATTTACCTTATAGTTTCTGCAAGAAGGGTTGAAGGCGTTAGTTCCGCAGACAAACAGAGTATCATCATTTTTCTTTAGAAGGACTTTAATAAAGTTGTGACACTCATCCTGAAAAATAATGCAAACTCTTTTGTATCCAGTCTGTGCAATACGGAAACCCATCCTTCACCGTCGACCACCATCTGCCGCAAGGTTAAAAAGGAAGGTGGCTGCAGTGTTCCCCTCCCTTAAGAAGTCTAGCTCCTTCTGATGTTTACCAAAAGATGACGTTGACGACAATGGCTTTTTTTTTTTTAACAGTAACTAAAAGCACAGCACAGAGAGAATGAGCATGGAAGTGCCAACCTTCCATCGTATTAATTTTAATGCCAGATGTCCCAGGGTCCCTTGATGGGCAAGGCTCCTGGCTGAAGTGTGTTTTTATGTTGCTCTGGGACTAAAGGCACAAACCCCTGTCTGTCTGCAGCAGCTTTGTTCTGAGCTCTTCTTCAGCCTCCCTGAGGACTCTGGTCTGTGCAGGGGGCTACCGGAGAGTGTGCTCGGAAGAGTCGGGGCAGCCAACTTGGTGTCCATAATCCCCAGTGCCCCTCAGTAGTTCATGATGTAGCCCTAGCAGCTGTCGTAATATTTCATCACATTAAAAGAAAACTGTTTTTGCAAATTAAAGCCTTCAATAAGTTGATGGAAAAAGCAATTACTGGGGGAAAAGGGACTAGCGCGATCCATTCCACATCACGGTCTATGGCCGGAGGTAACAGTCAAAAACTTAACCCAAAGTGGCAGCTGCAGGAGAAATGAAAATTGCCTACCTTATGTTTTCCCTTCATTCTGCATGTGTCTACATCAGCCTGTCTCGATTTCCATGTCAGTTTCTGCAGGGATCAAGAAAGAAATCAATTAGAGCCCAGAGGTGGTTGCATTTGATTTTAGAAGTAAGAGTTCCCTTGGGGAGACGGAGGCTGAACATATATTTATTGAAAGCTTTCCGCACCCTTTTTCCATGATTAATTCACCATCACAACAAAAGATCAGAGATAGGAACCGTTCATTTAATTTTGAACTCTTATCTATTCATTAAACTACAGAATGATCTTCTTCTCCTTGAGATACAGATGAAGGAGAAAGAAGAACAAACAATAGCGTGGAGATTTCTCATAAAATATCCAAATCAACTTGCTAAATGACGCTCATTTTGATAAACTACACGTCCTTGCCCTTTCCTTTCAGTTGATAAATCACTTTTCATAAAGCGTGCTTTTTTTCCTTAAAATATGGAAGTCATTTACTTAAACATAAAGGGGACATTCACTTTGGGTGGACAAAGATTTAATTCAGGTTCCACTCCACGTAAATTCATGGACTGAAGGGATCGTCTACTTCTGTGGCAGATTTTATTAACTAAAATACCTCCATGTGGAGTTAGAGGGGAAGCTTAGGTTATATTTTATGTCTGTCTGAAGTGGTTAATGATCAGATTGCTGAGCCACAACAGGCAAATCAAACTTAATGCTGCAAGACATGGAAACGTAACATTGAAACATTTGTGGGGCAGAATTTTACATATGAAAACTGATATTTTCCTGGACAAACATGGTAGTATTTTATTAAAGGAATTTGGAGATGACCTATAACTCCAAAGTACACAGGCACACATATTTGGTGAATAAACTATGAAGTAGATAGCTGTTTCCAAACAGGGATTTGCCCCAAATTTGTAGGATTGCAAAAAAAATGTTCCAAATCATTCCCAGTTATTAGCCATGTTATCTTAATTCAGTGCATTTGAAATACGTATTCCCTTTAAGAAGTATCCTAAAGCCCTTCATTTTAGAAAGATGGTTTTAAAACTACTTACTTTGCTACAATAAATTTCTTCTGTGTGTGAGGTGTCCATATCAACAGTATAAATATGGTCCCTGTAAACAATGAGAAATTGATACAGTGTCAAACACAGGAGTCAAGATAGTTAATTTTCTCCTGAATGAGTGTATATCTCATTCAAGGCAGATAAATCCATATCTGCGTTATTAGAAAAGAGACATCCGCATGCAAGAAAAAGGGAACAGTTCAGCCTGCAAGACATGTCTCTCGATCACACTCTGCTACTTCTGACAAATCATGGCATCTTGCTGACAGGGGCACCTTTTATGAAAACTTTGCTGTTGTCCCACTCATACCAGCACTAGAATCCCTGTATGTTCAGGAGAGAGGACTTCGAAAGTTAAATTGATCCAAAAACCAGAACACAGATAGGTTTCCCCATGCCCTTTTGGTATCTTCAAATCCATGTACCAAACACTTGGTATGCAACAAACCACATTCGTTCATCATGGGGGCTAACAAAAAGCTCATCTCTGGCTGTTTCTCCCTGTACAAAACTTATTTCCAGCCTTCACTTTGATGATGTGATTGACAAGATGGAAGACGATAACAGTGAAATTATTTCCAGAAAGCAGTATTTTCTTCACACAGTGATGGTCAGTTAAGGTCTAAAATGTACTTGAGCTAAAGTTTACATTTCTTGCTTCTGTTCACCTTCCTGTTTTGCTGAGAATTTGGTTGCCTTTACGATCTGCTGCCAATCTCCCCTTGGAAGGGAAGAAACAGAATCAGCAGCTCAGGTGTGGGGCTATATTTAAACATCCCCTTCTGTGTGAGCTGAGCACAAGGGCGTTTTTGTCTGGAATTCAGAAGAAAGAAAAGAAAAGAACTCACTCAACTGGGGAGATGGGGGGCTAGCGAGGGAAAGCAAAACAGCTCATTTTCCCTTGAAATAACATTGACTTTTTCTAAAACGCAGGAAGTCCTGGGGTTGGAAAATTACCCACAGCTTTAAACCAGGACCTCAAGGCTCCCATGTAGACTTTCAGGCCCCCTCATTACTTAAGAGAAAGTGGAGGGAGTGGGGAAGAAAAAAAGAAAAAAGAAAAGGAATGATCTGCTGTCAGGATTCACTTTAATTCTCCCTCCTCCCACCTTCTTTGGAAATCTGCTACTGTTTTAGGCAAAGTACAACAGAGAAAAACAGAAATAAAAACAGGCTTTCTCACGTGAAAATAAAGGTTGGGGGCAAGGCGGTTGGCTTACAAAATTTCCTTGCAACTCTGAGTGTTTGAGCCTCGGGGGTGGTGTATGTGTGTGTGTGTTGGTGTGTGTGTTGTGTGTGTTGGTGTGTGTGTGTGTGTGTGTGTGTGTGTGTGTTGAGGGGGGAGAATGGGGGGCCTGGTTTTGTAAATTGCTGAAATGGGAAGTTCTTGGAACCTCAGTAGGGAGCCACAATCACCCTGCCCTTTAATTTCAAGGCAGTTTTATTGCATTCGTTTATTACTTGTTTGCCTTTATTGGTGGTGCTGTGAGTCAGGCTCATTATTGGGACAGAATTGCCTATTACTTTGGTATCAGGTTTGAGATGACTCTAGGTTTTTCCTTGCTCTCCCTCCCCTGAAAACTTTTAAGTAGGAGCTGAATATATGAATTGTAAATTAACAGCTGATTAATATGCACTGGCAATTCCTCAGAAAGCTCTGGGATTGCCCCTTTCTGGCATGGCCTGTTTATGTTAATTAGCAGTTTAGAGATTAAACAAACAAACAAACAAAAAGAATTTTCAAAATCGATAGTAATAAAACAATTGAAAGGGGTTCCTGCCATCAAGGCTCACTCAGTCTCTGGGTTCTGGATGGGACTTGGTTTCTGATGGCTGACACCAATTGTCTGGAAGAACCGGGAAGCCTATTTTAAAAATAGAATTCTGTGAATGAAATCTTTTTCAATATCCAAGAGATCACATTGCCCAGCAAACAGAAACCGTGCTTTATGCTAAACCTAAGGCCGGAGTGGACGGTTATTCCCACCTGCCCGTGTGTATATCCCAGGATTCATAAGCTGTACTTAACTGAATTCAGTTATTTGAACACAAACTGACTTAATCCGAGGACTTCCTCTCCCCGCCCCCCCCCCCCACGCTCCAGTGAGCAAAACTGAATTGTGTTGCTGTGGTTTGAGCCTGGGGGAAGGATTGGGCTTTACATCTCGTGTCACTTGCTGCCCAGGAACCTGGATCTCTCTGGGCAGTGTTGGGAAATTGAAGGGAGAGGAGAGACCCTAAACATGGTGGCCAGGAAGCTCCTTCAGGAATTTTCCCAAGGGTGGGTACTGAAGGCAAGTGGCTGTGTGTGGAGTGGAAACCAACAGATCAGTGCGGGGGTCTTACAAATTTGACCTTTACCAAAAGGCAAGTCTGTTTTAGAGTTTTAAAACCATGAATGTGTTTCTCTCCTTTTTTCCCTTATATTTCTCCTTTTTGTGGGGTGGGGGTGGGGTTAGGATAACACTGTCTGGGTTTTAACGAGCTGGGATAATGGTCTCTTTTTTTGCTCCTAACTCAGGGGCCGCCCTGGACCTACAGTCCATACCCACACTAAATCATCAGGTATGAGGTCCGTTACCCTGTTTTTCCTCCTAGAGACTCAACTGCAGAGTGAATCATCATAGAAGATTCTTGACTCAACCTGTTTCTCACAGATCCAGTGTTTAATCATTTGTTTTGACCAGCCTATAGATAATTGACTACAAATGTAATCTTCCAGCCCTGCTACATTTAGGGATCTAAAAATGATATTTAAAAAGAAGCTGATGAGGGTGCCTGGGTGGCTCAGTCAGTTAAGCATCTGCCCTTGGCTCAGGTCATGATCCCAGGGTGCTGGGATCAAGCCCAGCGTTGGGCTCCCTGCTCAGCGGGGAGTCTGCTTCTCTCTCTGCTCCTACCCCTGCTCGTGCTCTATCAAAAAATTTTAAATAAAATCTTAAAAAAAAAAAAAGAAGGACCTGATATTCTACCAGCGAGGCACCTACTGAGGACCTCAGTGGAACACTTGCTAAGGAATACCTACACTGGCTTTGTTCATGGGCAAAAGCTAGTAGAAAGTTATTGCCAGGACAAATAGTACCATCTCTCCTCCTCAGTAGGCTGCCCAGTACTGGGAGTAAATGCCCAGCTTCTGGAGCAAGGCCACCCCACTTCAAACCCTGCCTTGGTCATTTTGGTCCAGGCATTTCACCTCTCTCTCCCTGGGTTTCTTCCTTAAAGACGTGGAGGTAATAGCTCCTTCACTGAACTAGGATTCTTTTCCAGGATTGAATGAATGAACATTTATAAAAAACTTACACAGCACATACAACTAGTATGTACCCGGTACGTATTTGTGAAGTAAAATCGTTGGAAAGGGCTTTGGCATTGCTCCCTGAGACATGTTGTGGGGTACTTGCAGGACACTGTAATGTGGCCCACGGTTTTTGGTTTATGTCGCATAGCTTGTCGTTTGAGAACACCTGAGTGCTTTAGAAGAATGAAGCACTGTTCTTATTGACCTGTTCCTTATCTGTGCTCACAGCCATGCAAGTATCACAGACATAATTTCTGTTTCTTCTTCCCAGTGTGCAGTGATGAGTCAGTTGAGACCCAGGTTGAGATCACCGTGGTAGCCCCCCTCTGAGGGTAGACGAGAGCAAAAGGCGCCTCACCTAGCAGCAATGTAGAGGGTTCTGTTCATGATCACCATCATCTGGATGTCCATCCTGTGCCTCTGCGTGCTGTTCCGTCCTGGCTTGTGGCCCACAAACACCGGGTATTGTTTTGTATCTGTGAAAAGAAGAGATGGGGCAAGAGAGGGAGAGGAAATCAAGCCAAGAATCGACAAGGCAGAGAGAGGATGGGGGCTGGTCCCAAAAAGAAAACCGTACTTAAGTCAGTCCAGGCCACCACTCTCCATTTTCAAGGAGTCTGTGATTTTAGGAAGGCCTGTGACAGACAGGGGCTCTGTGAGGACAATCATGTTACAGTCTCATTTCCAGATGATAATCAGCCTGGACCTCTCTTTCTCCGTGTCATAATTTCTGACTTGTCCCTCTTTTTGCCAGGGCCGGGGGGGTTAAACTTGCAAGTGAACCCTTTACATGAAGGTGCTCTTTTCTTCCAGTTTTCTTTTCATCTTCTTTAGAGTACTAAGCCTGGGGGGGCAGCCTGCCAAAGATCTTGTCTCCGGACAAAACTATTTCAAAGCAGCTTTCCCATCAGTCACCACAAAGGCAATGTGGTCTGGAGGCGAGAACCCTCGTCCAGGAGCCAGAAGAAAAATACAGTCTCCACAGGCGTCCAGTTGGAATAATCTCCTATTGAAGGCAGCCCCGCTAGGTTGGTTGGCATTCTAGGAACTGTGGGAAGTTCACTCTTGAGTTAAGCAATTGGCTAATCTCACAGAAGCGGGGGCTTTGACAGGACAGGGTCAAACGGAGTGTAGCCAGTCGGGTGATCTGGAATTTTCCCTGACTTGGAGAGTCAATGAACATATTTCTGCTTTCCTACAGTTCTCTCTAGCTGAGAGCGGGCAATTTGTAGTAATATCTGACCTTTAGAAATACCTACATTTCAAAAAATCTCTCTGCCTTTAAACCTACACTCTCCAGAGCACTGGCAGTCCTCCAAAGAAACTCAGAAGGAAAGAAGGACGGGTCATATTTAAAAATGTTTTTTTGGGGGGGGGTGGGGGGGTGTAAATAATGACTTGAAACCCATTCACAGATTCCTGCTCAGACCCCTACACTTGAATCCCCTGTAGTATCTGAGCATTACTCACAGTGGGTATCAGGGAGCCTTGGTATATTTGACTCACAGTCAAGCTTGGTACGGGATTATCTTGTGCTTTCCCCTGCACGCTCTGAGATTTCATTTATCCATTCATCAAGGAGCTTGCTAAGACAATTCTTGTCCCTCTACTGTCAAGGATTGGAGTGTCCATTGACATTTCATTTTCAGCAGCATATATTTGGGCTGGGGACTCTTCTTTACAGAGCACCAGAGATAGAATACCCGTCCCAAATGGGGATTAATCAATGTGTATTAAGATTTGTTACCTTGAGTCAGGTGGACCACCACTTTAGTGATTTCGAACTACACAGTTCTTGGGTCTTTGAGTGTGCTGTGACTTTTGTTCGCTCACTGTCTGCTGTGCCATGTGTTGCCAGCTCACCTTCATGTGAAATTATTTCCCTTTTCAGGGACTGTCCAGCAGAAAGCCACACATTGATGGATCTCCTTAGTATCCGCTATAGATGCTAAATACTTTCCTTAGGGTTTGTTCAGTTTGTTTTGGGATGGCTACTGGGAAAATGGATATTTGGGTAAAAGGGCTCCCTTTCACCCTTACTGTGATAAAACATTTTGTCTTTCGGAGGGAAGGAAAAGAAGCGGTACATGGGCTGTTCGATCCCGCACACAGGTAGGACTTTCCCTCTTGAGTAGTCAACTGTCTTAATCACGTGGCTTTCTACCCTTTTGACAATGAAGCGGAGGCCAAAAGACAGTTATAAATAGTTAAAATAGGTCCTCTGTGAATTCAGAGTCCAGCAGACTTTTTACTTCTAAGTCTAAAAGAAAAGTTAATTTTTGTCCCTAAGTACTCCAAAACAGTCATCTTCTTTCCCATTCTCATTGTGTAACAATGTCCATGCGTTAACCACACATGAGAATGTGCACTCCGGGCAATACCCAGATGGTAGAGATATTCTCCCATGGCTGGTTTTTGGGCATGATCAAGGATGGCCTCCTTTTAGTGGCCTGAGACTTCATCAGAGGTACTTGAGGAACGTTTCAGATCCTCACACGCATGTTCACACACACGTGTCGCCACAACAGTATTTAATGGAGTTGCAGAACAGCCGTCTCCCCAATTTGATGAGACCCCTCTGTTGTCTACTAACAAGTCTATTTTATTACGTTTTAGAAAATGTTGGGTGTTTAGCTGGTTGATGCAGCCTGAGATGCCCACAGAGGGAGAGAATGACAACGTGATTGTGGATACTTACAGTTGCCATGCGAAATACTGATCGGCTCAGAATCTTCTGGGAAACCAGCCCCAGCAAAGTGTAGCAGTGTGAAATATAGCAGCAAGGCTTCTGACCTCATAGTAGTTCAGCGGGGAGACTTTATTTCTCTACTTCACCCTGCCAAAGAGCAAAGAAGGATTTTTTTTTTGCAAGTCAGCTTTATTCACCTCCATAAAATGAAATGGTCTTGAAGATAAATTTAAGAGAAAAAGGGTCGCTGCTTCATCTCTTTTCCATTGTGAATTCATGGATTATTGTGTTTTACACAAGAAACCTGTATCCATTACCCACCGCACCCTCCTTCCCCGCGCATCTGAGCCCTTTTGCAAAGCTGCTCCCGAACACGTGACCCCAGAGCTTTATTAGTTCCTCTGTCCTAGCCATTTTAAGGCCATCATAAGTGGCTATTTCACAGTTACGAAACAGCATTCCAAAAAGTGTGGACGACTGAGAAAACATTTTTTTTTCTTTTTAATGTAAATACTTTTCTTCTCAGCAGGTTTACGGCAGCATGCCATCCCCCAGACGTGTTTTGTTTGTCCAGCTCCGGATCTTTCAAAAATTTGAAGTGGTTGCCAATATTGAGAAAAAAAAAAAAGGTTTCTAATAAAAATCAGAATATCTGACATATTGACCTAAATGACTGTTCCCTTCAGGTGCCACTCCCCACCCCCAACACACATGCACACGCTTGTGCACACCCCCCCCCCATAATGCGCCCTCTTTTCTAATTTCTGTTACCTGCCTGACCCCCGTAGTTGAAATGTTCACCCTTGGTTTACATAATTCCACAGTAATTCTAGAATGACCTTAGATATAAATAAAATCACATAATCTATGTTTAAAAAGAAAGAAATGGGTCCTTTTAGATTCTGAAGAATACTATAGGGAGAATCTGAAACCACATCCTGAAATGGTATTTTTTATAAAGATTTTATTTATTTATTAGAGATAGCGTGAGTGCAGGAGTGGCAGGGAGGGGCAGAGGGAGACGCAGGCTCCCCGATGAGCAGGGAGCCTGATGTGGGACTCGATCCCAGGACCCTGAGATCATGACCTGAGCTGAAGGCAGACGCTTAACTGACTGAGCCACCCAGGCATCCTGAAATGGTATTGTTGATGAATATTTTAGTGTCAAATACTGCCTTGGTGGAACAGTAGTGCCAGATATACTATTCTATACTATTCTGCCCAGCTGTATGTTCTTCAAGATGCTGTTTATATGTAGAAAATACTCCTAAATCTTAGAAGTAGAATCCCATGTGGGGCTGCTGAATATGGTGAAGGAAGGCTCATAATACAGTAAATATCGCATAATTCTCAGGCATATTTCAAATAAGTATTGATCTATAAGGGAAATAATGTAAAATGAGGATATCTTTTCATCTTTCTAGAGTGGCAAAGCCTTTGAAGTAGCCTGCCAAAGATGATCTTTGTTGAACAAAGCTATTTTACAGTAGTCCATCAATCATTTAAGATTTGTGTGTAGAAGAATCAAACTTAACTTAGGTGTCTTTAGAAAGTTAATTTGGCAAACAAACTTATGCTTTTTAGAACACGTAATATTAGATACTTATGTCTCCCTTCTTCATGCCAAAAAAAGCATTAACAAGTCCCGAGTGTTGCACCACAACTTACAGTTTCACAGACACAGCTGGGTCTTAATCATTTCTTCAGTTGAAAAGTACACATGAATTAATTTGCTTTATCTTGAAAAAGAGGGAGAGAGCTTGAGCGAAAAGCCCAAGCAATTCTGTATCCCCATCTCAGGTGTGGAGATTAGAATTAAACTTTAAATGATGACTTGCTCACAAGGGCAATCCATTACCAAGATACATAAACATGTACTTGTAGACAGGTTAAAAGCGATCGTCTACTCAGTCATTCATTTGCCAGTTCTTCCTCTTCCGGAGACTCTGAACCCAAAGGGAAGAAGCCCTGAGGTCCCCTTGTTTGTTTCTCATGGCATCTGTTCAGTAGAACACTAAAGAGAAATTGGTCACAGGACCAAGTAAGACATAAACCAGATCCCAGTCAGCTGTTACATTTTAGATGAGAAAGCAAGCAGGGCAAGAGGAAGTGGCAACATTTACCAAGGGCTCAGAAATGGTATTATAGCCTAATACAGAAGCAGACTACCTCAGAGAGTTTGCAGCATGTAATGGAAGAATAATGGAGACTCAGAACTCTGATTCTCAGTCCTTTAGAAATCTTGGGAAATATATGTATACTTTTAAAGATTAATTTGTCTCGACATGCCACATGACTCTCTGGCCTTCCCCAGTTGGCATTTGTCTTCGTACAAACGTCCTACAAGCCAGCGAGACAGAGCCCTGCTATTTTATTGTATCTCCCAAGTTTTGTGGTTCCCATCTTAAGATTGCGTGGCGTAGATGCACCATGCGCCACCCCCAGAACTTGGCAGGCAGGTGATGCTTGCAGAAGAAACCTATTCTGCACTCCAATGGCTTCCTTTAATCCTTACACACAGCCAGGACCATGGCTGCAATGGGGTATTTAAATACCTCCAGGTTTACAGTAGGGCTCCGTGCCAGGAAAAATAGCTGTTTTATGTGTCTATCTATCATCATATCATCAGGTTGTTAACATGTACATCATATGGGAGGAAGCGTTCTGGCAGTACCTTCGGCCGTCCACATGAACACTTTACAGTTGTCTTCAGCCGAGGCTTTGATGTATTATTCCCTTCCTACACAACTTTGGGCTCTAACCCTTGTAAATATGTAGACAATATATTTTCTTGTTGAAATGATTACTTTGTGGAGAGATCCCAATTCAATCACGTTGTCATTTCCCATTCTGCAGAATGTGGGCTGGGTCTCTCTGCTAAGACCACAGTGATACAGACATGCCTCGAGCCTGGGAGAACAAAAAACAAACAGGCACTTGCCTCTGAATTTCAAACTCTGGAGCTAGCTGGGCTGCTGCATTGAAAGAGGTTGTTTGAGGAATTTTTGAGACTTTGAGCGGCGCTACCCACATACAGCATATTTCTAGGCATCTGTAGCCATTTGCTGGTTTCCCTCTCCGTGACCATGCTTACATAGGCTAAATTGGACTTAGACTTCAGCAGATACCCAGACAATTAGATAGTGGGGAGACTGTCAACATGAGGTTAATTCTAAACAAAAACATATACTTCAAAAGTCAGCTCCTTGGGCCTGAATTTCCCATCTTATTGTCTCAACTTTCCACTCTTCTTAGCCTAAAGGGAAATGGCCTTGTAAAATCCACCATTACTCTAAAGTTATAATCCCCCTCTTCCCCAACCCTGCAGTATTTGTGGAAAGCCTTAAGAGCGTTCTTAATTTTAATAGGGCATCTGCTGGGCGAATTTATTAGATCTATTTGGATTCATCTAAAATTAATTACATGACTTTACTCTGAGTCACATCGGCGAGAATTGTGTTGACTTACTACACGCTCTCAGCCCAGATAAAAATTCTTGTCTGAAATTTTTCCCTTAGAGTTTTTAAGACCAAATTGAGTTAACAGAGCCGCGATGTACAAATGGTGGTGTGGCCATGGGCTGCCGTGAGTTGAATGGTCTGTGCAGAATGCTGACTGGCCAGGAAACCAGCCCTCAGTATTCCAGATTGAGGGCCGAACAAAAGGGGCTGCAAGGAAGTCTGTCTGAAAATCCTGTGACTGCATTCGTGGGGATAGTTGCGTTTTAAAATGATCAAATATTTTCAGTGATTGGAGCTTCCATCCACCTCCCTCCTGCGTACCCTTGTCATATAGGTCGTTGTGTCAGCAAAGCACTGAAGCAAAGGGGATGTCACTAGGACTGGGAATGATTATGAAGTCAGAGGATGAGGTCACAAATTGCCACGTCTTACTTCTGATTAATCGGGTTAATTTCGTAAGTGCCACGAGGACTTGGGAGTCACACAAGCCTAAGCGTATGCAGCCAGAGCAGCACTCTTGCTTAACCCCAATCCTCTGCCCAGCCATTCCCCCAAAGCCTGCCCTGGAAAATTCTACTGGGGCTCATAAACTGGTAGGACTTGGCCAAAGCTTGGCTCACAGAGCAGAAAAAACCCTAAATTTAAGTTGCCAACATTTCAGGAAAAAAAAATAGATTTAACATACAACTCTGGCTTTCTGGCTTCTTTAAAAAAGAAAAATCGGAGATCTGCCTTGGCTGGCCAACATTTCACATGGCCAACACTCTGGAGCGGAGCGGTGGCTGCCTAAAGTAGAGCAGGCTAGCCCTCTCCAGTTGGAAACACTCCCACCACTTTCCATTGTCTTAGGAAGCCTCGTCACCTGCTCACCTCACCGGTCTGACCCCCAAAGGCTCTGAGGGCAGCCTCCATGCCACTCAGGGAAAGCACATCAGCACGGCAGATAAGGTAAAAAAAAAAAAAAAAAAAAGAATAACGCACTTCAGTCTTAGCATGTGAACCTGGGGGGACCCAATGTCTGCACACACATGTGAACGGATGTTGCTTGTTTTAAAGACCCACATGGGCTGCTCCACATGCTATGAACACCTGCACCAGCAGCACAGTGTGCTTGCCCTTGTCCCTGGACTTGGCTGTATGGATACAACTTGGGGTACCGTCTTCCAGAGTGTTGGCATCCAATGAACGTTTTAATAGTAAGTGGTAACAGTGAGAAAAATAATTTATCTGGAGACTTGCAAATGCAAAATACTCTCAATAATAGCTCTACGTGTGTCCTACGAATAAAGAAGATGATGGTAGTGGCAGGGTTTTTTTTTTTCTTATGAGGTAAATCATTTACTACCGTGTTTCACTAATTCTTTTAAAAAGCCCATTTTCTGCTGATGTCAGAAGTTTTAAAGGTAATCAATAATTCACGCTGTCATTAAAAAAAGGAAGGGCACATTAACAGGGTGACCCTAGGCAAGTCACGTAGCCTTGCCGGCTGTTTCGTCACCTGTAAATTGAAAGCACATAAAATGTAATGGCCTCTGGAACTCTTCCAGGCTCTGAGATTGTGTGATTCTAGGTGATTCTGCCCCAGTGACGAAGGGAGTGGGAATGTGGTGATTAGGGAGCACAGGACATGGAGTGACTTGGAGCCAGGACACTCCTGTTGTGAGAAGTTCCTTGAGCTAGAGCAGA